TTAATAGGCTGTCAGGTCCCCTAAATTTTCCTCTGTCATTTTTAATATAGTAGAGCAGCTCACTAAAATCTGAATGTTATTTCTAAAAATTTGATTGACTACAAGAATTGATACGTGAATCTCTCTTGTTTTACTAATTTATTTTGTGCCTCACTTCCCTCTTCGCCCTTCACTTAAATTGTAATTTCTTTATACATGGTGGTAAAATAGAGAATTCTAGATGTGTGGCTGTGAATTACAAAGTTAATTGTACTCATTTAGCTCTCCAAAACCTCTCATTTTCAAAGCAAGCTTTTATTTTTCCAAATGAAAGACTTTTATTTTGCAAAGTCTTCTTTCATTACTTCTACAAATTTCCATGAGAGTTCTCTATAGATGACCAATGATTACCATTTGTCTTCTCCATGGCTACCACTCACAAGCTTGTGCATGCACCTTTAACTTGTGGAAACTTTTCACATTTTTCACCTTTTAAACTCTATAAAAAAAAACATATATGAAGGGATACTATAACTATATTGTTCTCTTAAATTTCCTCTCTCTTTTAGTCACTACATCTTCTAATTTTTCTTTCTTTATAAAATTAAGAAAACGAAAACCAGAGCTATGGCCAAAGTTTTTACGTGTTTGCTTTTTCTACTTATCATTGTTCCAAATGAAGTTTTTTGCATTCGGGGAGGAAATTTTTCAGGGGAAAAAAGATTGAAGTGTGCGAATTTTGTTAGTTGTGGTGCAAAACAAGCAACGAGTGCAAGCCTTACAAAGTTACAAAGGCCTGAATTTAGATTCATTGAAGTACATGTGAATTATTTTCGACCAACGACCCCGGGTCATAGTCCTAGTATAGGTCATTCTAAGCATGACTAAATACGTTATAATAATGGAGAATTAATTGTTTAGATGATTGTTTTCATACTCATGCATTGACTTTATTTGTGCATATTTTATGTATAGTTAGCTAACTAGTATTGGCGATTGCTTAATCGTAGTATTTTACGTTACAAATGAATCACTATAAATCATTTATTTGATTGGTATAAACATACTCCATTCAATTTTCCTTGCAAAGTGAAGAAGAAGAAATCAAACAGACAAGTCTAGATGTCAAAGTTACAATATATGATTGTAACTACACTATTAGCTTGATATATTACTATTATCTAACTAAAAAATTTCAATTTTTTTCTTGAATACAGAACATGGGCCTTCCTATTTTAACCGCAAAAATTCTGGGCTCCTCAATTTTACCCAAAATTCATGGGCTTTAGTAACCTCCAAAATCATGGGCTCCCATTACGAGGTTTCAAGAATCTGGGTCATTAAGTTTTTGTACCTGTTAATCTAGATGGGCCAGGGCTTGATAATATCAAGGAATGTTGGGACGGTAATGGTAAGGGAAGAGTACATAACTTTTTAAAGATAAATTTTCAAAACTTGAGAAATATGAGATTTTATTTCAAAAATCAGGTCATAAATAAGTAATTAATTAAATAGATAGTTAAATTTATTTTATTAATTAAAGATATAGTATTATATAGTTTATGATCATAGTTACGTACTAATTATAATTACAATACTTCAGAGTCACAAATCACAAATTTTATAGGTCACAACTTATTCATTAATCGCAAATTATCAAATTAATTTATCGTGACTTACTTTCCAATCACAAATCACAAATTTTATATGTTACAACTTATTTATTGATCGCAAATTATGAAATCACAACTTATTTTTCAGTATCAAAGCACAAATTGTATAGGCCACGATTTATTTCTTATGACAAATTATCAAATTCATTGACCATGATTTATTTCTAGACCACAGATCGCAAATGTTATAGGTCACGACTTATTTCTCTCGTGCAAGTCATAAATTTTATAGGTCACAACTTTATTTTAGATCACAATTAACAAATAAATTGATCCCATATTACTCTTCATCTCTCCAACGTCACCCCCACTTGACCACCATTGGCCCCACAACCACCATAACATTCTCCTCCAATGCACCACCACCACTAATGCCACATCACCTCTTCCATCGCAACACACCACCACCACCACAAAAAGGCAGTCCACAACCATCATCACCACCTGCATCACAACCCACAGCCACTACAACGTCCACATCAAATCCAAAATCAACACCTGCACCACCACACCACAATCGCTAAAAATACCACCACAATATCACACAGCCAACACCTCCACTTCTATCACACCATAACCACTTCATCCATCCCTTCTTTGTACTTATTCAACCTATGAAACTGTTCACCAATGGAGAAGAAGATCAAGATCAAGAGAGAGTTGAAGCAATATTGACATCGGTGTCACTGCACAGCGATGAGCGATGCTATCGCCGCTAAGGCACTCTTTGCGCTCCTCACAAAGCATTATCCATTAGTCATCGTCTTTTGATTTCCTCAGCTTTAGGCTTAATTTGAAAAGTCACAAATGGGAAATGATTTCAAATTTGGAAGTGAAATAGAGTAAGGTGGAGAGGGGGGTGCGATGGGGTGGAGTAAGGGTATGCAGATTAATTTAATTTTTATTATATTATTATTAATATTAAAATGTACAGTTATCATATGATTTTTGAACAAAAAATATTTTAAACCTGATTTTAGAATTTGAAACTTAAAAATCACGTGTGTGGGTGTAATTTCTTCATAAAACGAAGAATACATAACTACCTAGCTTTAAAGATACATTTTCAAATTTGAGAAATTTGGAGATTTTCTTTCAAAATTAAGTCATAAATAGGTAATTAAGTAAATAAGTAATTACATTTATTTTATTAATTAAATATGTTAGGATCACAATATCATATAGTCTATGTTTACAGTTACATATCAGTCAAAAAACAGAACGTTAAAGTCACAAATCACAAATTTTATATGTGTAAATTATTTATCGATAACAAATTATCAAATTAATCGATTACGACTTATTTCTTGGCCACAAATCATAAATTGTATAGATCACGACTTATTTTTCGATTATAAATTATCAAATTCATCAATACCATATTTCTCACATAAATAAAAGTTTTATAGGTTACGACTTATTTCTCGATTACAAATTACAAATTTTATCGGTGACAACTCATTTATCGATGACATATTATCAAAATAATTGGTTACAATTAATCAAATAATTGATCACACAACACTCTTCAATTTCCCAAAGTCACCCATCCCCACTCTACCACCGTTGGTCCTACTAAGATTTCCCCACAATGCTTCAGACTCATAACCCATTGCCTCCATGACCACCACCACTTTCTCCAACGTACAACCACTTCCAACATTGTCGCCACTTGCACCACAACTCGCTGCCACCACCACAAAAGGAAATTCTACAACCATTATCGCCATCTACACCACAACCCACCGTCACCACCTGAACAATAGCTAACTGCCACCTCCTGCACCACTACCCACAGCCACCACCACTTGCGCCAGAACCGATAGCCACCAACACATCCACATCAAATCCAAAATCAACATCTCCACGAACTCCACCACACTACAACCCACATTTGCATGGCACGGTGCTCTTCACCATGTGTGCAAAGCACACTAATATTATCTACTGGCCACCTTCTCTTGATTTTCTCAACTTTAGCCTTTATTTAAAAGAGTTGCAACTGGATTTGGGAGTGAAATCAAGTGACGTAGGAGGATGGGTGATAGTATGTAGATTAATTTAATTTTATAATATTATTATTTATATTAAAAGTTGAATTATCACCTGATTTTTGAACTAAAGATTTTTAAATTTTAAGTTTTTAAATTGAGAAGCTAAAAATCACATGTTGTGTAACTTTCTCATAGAATTTGCATGGAAAGTAAATAAATTCTAGGTAATTCGATTATCCAGAACTTATTTGCATGGACATTGTCAATAAAATGTGTTTGATTAATTTAATTTTCAACCTAGAAAATAGTATACTTATCCGTTTTTTATTGTGGGTAGACAAGAAAGCGCAGATATATGAGATAGAGAAAGAGAGAGTGAATATCCTGGAAAATAAAATTATACTATTCTTAAAGAAAATATTTTCTTTGATTTTGAGGAAAATATGGTCATATGACCAAAAGTTAGAAAATATTTTCCATGGATAAATGTCAATCAAACAAATAAATATAGAAATTTGGGTGGAAAAAACATATTTTTCATAAAAAATACTGACAATCAAACACACCCTCACGTGAATCCAAAGTCAATGAAAGTTGGATAAAGCACAGTCCATTTTATCTGTCCCATCTCCAATGTATTTGATTAAGCTGGTTGTAAAGAAATATTTTGACAAACTCTTTGATGCATGAATGGCCAAAATGTATACCATCTCAGTACCTGTCAAAGATTCTGGAAAGGAAACGATACAAGTAGCATGGTTCAATGGATTTATTGATTACAAATATATAAATAGTTACATAATAATTTATATATAAATGAGATGTCAAAAAGATAAAAAAATATTTTATTTTATTTTATTTTCTGTTGGAAAAATTTTGATTATTCATTTCTCATTTCTCATTCCATCAAATATGTAAACTTAGTCCCCACTTGGTAGTAGTTTTTCACATCACAAAAAAATTGATTTTTTGACTGTTATTTTATTATTTAATTCGTCATTTTTGACTTCTTCACTCACATGTAGCCCCCACTTTGCTTCGTAACGATTAAAAAATCAAATTTCATAATCACTACCAAATGAGCCCTTTTATACATATAGCACAATCACAAATATAAATACTTCTCAACCTTTATGCTTATGTTTGGCCCCCATTTTTTAAAATCTCATTTTTCAAAACCCATTTTCAAAAATTCATTCTCCAATAAAATAATACTACACACAAACCTAAATTTTTTCTTAAATCTTAACCATACAATCTTCAATAATATATTATTTTTAAATGCATTTTTGTACAAAAACAGGGCTCAAAGGGCTATATTTTGAATAATTATAAATTTACAAAATATTATTTGGATTTCACGAGGATTTGTTGCATTACATCTCCTCTCGTCACATTTGGAAATTCATTTCTTCCAATTATTTTTAATTCATTGCCGCAATTGAATCGATACCTTTCATCATTGAATTTAACATGAAATCCTTAAAAAAACGCACTTTGTTGAAATCTCTTCGTCTGAGTCCGAAAACGCTGTAGATGCTGTTGAGAAGATCAGTTCTTCGAATTCTAGGTATTTTCCGACTCGCTCTCTTTAACAATCAACTACCGAATTGTATATATTGAGAAATTAGCACTCTTTTGCATTAGGTTTTGTTGTTTAGAATTTATTTGTTTTGATTTTATGGTTCAGTGAGGATGATGATGACGATGACGATGATGATTGGAGTGAATGGAAGGAATCAGAGTATGAAGAAACAGAAGAAGTAGAAGATAATGAGACCCATGTTCAAGAAAATGATGAATCCATGTTTAATAAAGTGATTAAATTACTTCTCGGTTTGGTTATCTAAACAAGTATTCAGTTTGATTTAGAATTCATTAGATTATATTTTAATTAGTGATGATGTAGTTTAAGAGCATGCTGAAGTAATCAGATGAATATTGGCATAAGGATCATTATCATTTATTTTATTATTATTATTATTATTATTATTTTTTTTTTTTGAATAAAATTTCTTATCTTTTTGTTTTTTTTTTTTTTTTTTTTTTTTTTTTGGTGCAGAGGGAAATGATCTTCAAGAGTTGAACTTAGTCGAATGTAAAGCATATTTAAGAAGGCATGGATTGAGATTATCCGGAACCAAAGCCGAGTGCATAGAGAGAATTAAGGAGCACTGGAGGTCAGTAATCTCATTCAGCATGAAATATATAAATAGTCTGTGTAGCTTTATGATGAGTTTTATCATTTGTTGCTCTTGAATGGAATAAGCCATATATTAGTGGGAATTCAACATGAGACCTACTAGCTGATCACCTTATGGTCAAATCCATTTTGCTAATGAATCAAAGCTTTATTATCAGATAAGGGTTTTAATGTTTAGTTTTTGGAAGTGAGATTTGGCAGAAGTTTCTCAATTGTGAATTGAAGTTGCAAGATGTTATGTGGTTTTGAATTATATAAATAATTAATAGTGAGAAATTTCCCCTACAAATGAAGTCGAGGAAAGAAAACTGCGAGGGAATGTCCACTTTGATGTAAAATGGCTGAAAGTACTTTTGCTTTGATTATGCAGAATGGGAGATTTTGAATTATATAAATAAGTAATAGTGAGAAATTTCACCTAAAAATGAAGACGAGAAAATAAAACTGCGAGAGAATGGCCACTGTGATGTAAAATGGCTGAATGTAGTCCTGCTCTGACCATGCACAATGGAGGATCATTAACAAATCCTTTTAATTCTAGTCTTCTGCTTCTCAACCCTGGTCCATCTGCAGTCTGCTCTTAACTTTCACGATTCCTATGTTTGCAACTGCACTGACGTTAACTAATTATTTAAGTTGTTCAGAAACTTGGTACACGTTAACAGTTACAATGCACATGCCAACAAATTTTTTTGCTAGGTTGTGACTCCCGAATCCCTTTCTCTCATTTATAAACTTATGACGATCATGCTGTGGTGTCCCATCTCTAACTCCGCTGATTGCCCTAACCAGACTGGGATTAATAGATTTATGGCCCCAGACGAAGGCTAAGGACAAGAGATGAGTGAGCAACTAGTTTATATAGAATATTGATGCCTCCAAATCAGCAAACCTGTTTCAATCCATCAATCTTTCAACGGAAATGAGGCTATGTAAACCTCTCAACTGAATTCATAACTCTCAGTTCAGTTGCTTTAGTTTAGCTTTTGGAAGAACTTGAAGTTGTATTTTTGGTCATATAAAATTTCATAAATATTGCATGATTAAGTGGTAAATATGCCAACTTGCGGTAAAAATATACAAGGTCTCTCTTCAGAGTCTGATATAGCCTGCTGAAATGCAGGGGCCTTGATTGGGCAGATGTACAATTTTTGTACAAATGAAATTTAATGCTCCAAATTAATATTTTCTTTTCCTTCCTTTTATTCTGTATTCTTTTTGTGGAATTTGAAGAAACTTCTGATATGAGTTTTATTTTTAGGATAAAAGATAGAAATTGTGAAGCCTTGTATCCAAGATCTTCATTTACCATTGATTGCAGTGGTACTTTATTTTTTCATTGTGCACATATTTTGATTTATCTCATGCACTTCTTTTTTGTTTCATTTAAGTGCTTTTCCAATTTGTCCAGGTGACGTATGCAAGGGAGATGTTGTTTTGTTCAATCAGAAAGTATATGAGAAGTATTGCTGATAAACTCACTCATTTTACAAAATATATAAAATTTGATTTTCCACTGTATTTCTTCTTGAATGGACGATATTGTTTTTGAACCGTTTTGACAAAATGACGAGGCGTGGAAGCCCTCTTGGGAGAAGGACTGTAAAAGAAAATTACGGTGCTGGTAAACAATAATACACCTTCACAGTAAGGCTGATTTAGATAATACAACATTATTGTTGAAAATCATACAGATTTAGCTATTACAAATGCCGAACTTTTTGATTTTGCTCGATGATCTTGTTTTATGCTCTTGGTGCTTTCTTTTCTTTCTGATTCTTCTATCGATAAACTAGGTTGAAGTGCTATGGAGCATGGGAGCCAAGAAACTACCTACACTTTTCTCTTTGCTTGTGAAGGGCAGAAACCTCTACAAATTGAGGACATTTAAACAGGTGAATTGGTCCAGACCTATCAGAATGACATGTTACTTTCTGATCAAGTCCTCATAAAATTCCATAATCCAGCGCTGGAATAATGAAAAAGAAAGGTTGAATGTACTTGCTGAGAAGCATAAACGAGGAGCAGCAGCAAGAAGCTTAAGAGCTATGAGAAAGGCAAAAGCAGAAAAGAAGACAAATAAATCTTGTACAAACATAGGTGCATTTAAATGGTGTGGTTACATTTTTGTTTTCTGTTTGGGGGGTGGGTGGGTGTTGATTGTTTGCCTTATGCACATCTCATATAGCACTATCTATATTGTTAACTGATGATCAGGTAAGAAGAGCCACAAGCTTTTTGATCACGCAGCGACATCTGGAACAGAAGTGACGGGTAATAATATGCAGATGAACAATGTCAATGAACCACCGAATCCTTTGAGGGGAAACCTTAAATTCAATTTTTCACCAAAGGCCATCCTCGTTCCAAGCATTAAATTCAAAACAGAAGGGAGATTTCAGAATTCCCGAATTTAACTTCAAACATCGAAATTTAATCCAACCAATCGAGTTCAAGAAACCCCACTTTTGCCATATACTTGTCATCCTTCCCAAGACTTTCACCACTTCAACTCAGACCTTTACAACCGAAGATGGTATTGTCACTTCCCTTCTTATAGAGGTTCTGTATCTGCAGTCGGATTGCCCCATTGCCACCCCTTCTCCCATTCTGTTTTGGCACCTGCTTCAGAATCTCAAGAATTTGCCCATGGCAGGTACTTTTACCACATTCGTCTACGTCAAAATCGTGTATATGAATCAAGAAAGTTTGATCATTTCGCCCAAGCACCATCTTATCTGTCACCTACTGATACATATAGGCAGGGATAGCAGCATATAAACCTCTGCATTTTTTCCTGATTTTTGGTAACAGCAGTCAGATTATTGTTGTTATCTTACATATGAACCAGTTTGTCACTTGATCTACCACACATATTTGGAGTAGCTAAATGGACATGGAAATGCAATTACAGGGTTTTATGGACCAATGTGCATGATGTTGCAAGATCGAGTTATATAAACAGACAGTGAGACTGTTTTTAACATGCACCAAAATACTCGATTAAGTAATAATTGGCCCCCCCCCCCCCTCACTTTACCCGACTACTATATGCAATAAGTAAAAAGTATATAATAAGTAAGAAGCACAACATCATTTGTTAAGGAAAAAAACTTAGTAACCAATTATAACATTTTTTACCCAAACTTTTAGCTATTATTCCAATTCTTTAAATTGTTAAAAATAAAAACTTATATTTACATTATTTTTAGTATAGAAATTAATTGCTAACCCGCAAAATTTGTGTATATAAAATATTCTATATCTTTCTACAATTTATGTATAATTTTTTCTATTTTTACCTTTTTTTGTCATTTTTTTTTTCGTCTTAGAAATATTATTTCTGTGTTCACAGAAGTCAAATGGATTTTTAAATATATTTTTAATATATTACCAACAGTTTATTAAAGGATAAAAATTTCTGTTGGCATTTTTTTTCGATTTTTTTCTTATATTTACCAACGACTTTTGTTATAGAATTTTTTTCGTCGATAAATCCTCCGATTTTAACCTCTTTGTTCCGCCGGTATTCCATCACTTTTAGCCACCAGTATGATGTATCCATGACATCACCTATATAAGTTTCTCCTATAAACACAGTTTTGAACTTAATTGCAACTGGAATTACTTTAACCACTAGTAAAGTGTTTGATTCAATTGCAATTACTTCAAACTTTTGGACTTAATTATAATTGTTATTAAAATTCAGAGATTAAACATGCAATTAAATCAATTGCGACCTAATTTGACTTGACAAGATTTTTCTCCTATAAGTACATCCTTGTATTGGCTGAATTTTACACGTGAAAAAGAGAGTAAAACGATTACTTCAAACTTTTGGACTTAATTATAATTGTTATTAAAATTCAGAGATTACACATGCAATTAAATCAATTGAGACCTAATTTGACTTGACAAGATTTTTCTCCTGTAAGTACATCCTTGTATTGGTTGAATTTTACACATGAAAGAGAGTAAAACGAGTTATTATTATTATTATTATTTTTTTTTTTTTTAAATCATTCCCTGGTCCATTCAGTGTAGAAATTGAATTTTTTATTTAATTGAAAGAAGTTGGTCACACGCCATTATAATCTTGAATCTGGAGAATGGTTAAAAGTGTCAAGTTCTTGAAATCTAAAGTTGGAAGCTCATGATTAAAGAAGTTAAAAGTTCGTGATTAAAATTCGGTCAAGAAATTGATTATCGTATTCTAAATTTTTATTTCTTGATTATAAAATGTGTGAACATCCATTATTGAAGCAATATGACCCTTTCCCTTTTGATAAGCTTCTCGAATATACCGACCTAAATTGTTGCAAAGATGTAAGTTAGTTCTACTACGTGTTAGAACTTTATGAAACTTTATATAGCAAGAACTTGAAAATCTAATTACTTTATTGTCAAGATCCTCTATTTCAAATCACCAAGATAATTATTAAATGCCGAACATACCTTAATTCATTGAAAATGATTCTTTATTATTAGATCTTGATTTCAAATCTTGGAGATTAATTGCAATCTCTTCCTGTTTCGTTTCTTAATCTTTGATCTTGAATATTGGCATTTTTTATTCTTGAATTCTAGTTCTTGACTTTAGCTTCTTGCTTCATAATCTTGATTGCTTTAAATGCTCAAAGGCCAAACACTTCAATTCTTCATTAGATACTTTAATGGGCTTAACTTTAAGATAATCTTTATACACAATTATTTATAGTGGAAATTACAGATTCTAATAGATTTGAAATTCTCATTTCTTAAATCAGATGCCATGTTTAATATTTCACAAATGCGAAATTTTTTTAATTAATTAATATATTTAAAAATTAAAACAATTTTTCAAACCCTAATTATTTCACTCTCAATCCCCTCCCCCTCTATTCTCAGAGGAAGTTCTTCTCTCTCTCTCTCTCTCTCTCTGCCAGAAACACCGCCGTCGAAGGTCACTCCCACAAATCGACCATCGCTAAACAAGCGGCCATCGGAACATGGTCGAGCAGCACCGCGAACCGTAGCAAGCGGTAGTCGTGGAGATTGTGGCGGCAGCAACAACTCAAAGAAATCAAGTCTCAACTGTAGGAAAGATGGTGGTCCGACGATTGCAGTCGACAATGTGGTGGATATCTAGGGTGAATGTGGTGGTGGTGGTGGTGGTGTTAGTAATGGTGGTGGTGGAAATCGACTCGTGACTGTGGGAAGATGGTGGTCCGATGGCTGTAGTCGGTAATTCGATGTGGCAGTAGGTGAATGTGGTGTTAATGGTTGTGGATTGGGGCATCTGTTCAAAAATTGTTGCATCTCTATGGTCGGAGTTGGTGGCGTCGTGCCTCTATTGGCGTCGCTATGGGTGGAAGTGCTGGTGGTGGTGTGGTAGGTGAGGATGGGGTGTTGCACAGCAATGTTTTTGAGGTGATGATGTTTGTGGTGGCGTTGCAAGGTGGGTGGAGGGTATGGTGCGGTGGTGATGGGTTTTCTGAGGTGCTAGGTATTATTGGAGGTTTGTGATGGTGTTTGTTGGTGGTGCAGATGGGTGGAGGTGCTGTCTGGCACGGTGGATCTGGCAGTGGTGGTCAGTGGTGGTTTTGGTGATCGTGGTCGGGTCGGTGATTGTGGTCACAAGTGTTGCTCACAAATTATTTGGTTAACTGTGACCAATTAAATTGGTTAATTTGTGACCAATAAACAATATGTGACTAATAAATAATATACATTGTGACTAATAAATAATTTGTAATCTAAAAATTATTAATATATGATCGATAATTTGTGACTGTATAACTGTGACTTATAATATTCATGATTTGTGACCAATGAGTAAATCGTGACTCATAAATTTTTTGATTTGTGACTGATGAATAAATTGTGACTTATAAAATTTTTGAATTGTGACCGTAAAATAATTTGTAACATAAAATTTCTGATTTGTGATCGAAAATTAATAAGTGACTAATTAAATCATTAATTTGTGACCAAATTGTATAAATCTGTGACATAAATATAATTAATTAATTAAATCATAAATAAATTTTAATAAAAATCTGATTTTTGAAGTTTGAAACTTGTTTCTTAATTTTGAAATGTGTGATACTTAAAATCTTACTTATGAAATTTTCCCATATTTATATATGTAGGCCCATATGACGAATTAAATCTCACCAATCTTCCATTTGGGCCACATATGTTACCTTATAAATGTGCATAACTTTATGACATCAAAACTTTTGCTATCGTAACCAAAACTGTTTCTAAACAATCCTGTCCATTAATTATGTCAATATAGGATCAAAGCAATCTTCGCATAAGTATCATAACTAAACCCATCAATAATCACGTATATTAACACAATCAAATGACAAATATCAATTATAGATTTGTAGCATGAAAATTACATGTAATAGATTCAAACATGCTTATTTCCAACTACTCATTCCTTAATTTTTAATGAGACCAAACCAAAACATTAATCAAAATGAAAATTGAATTGAATCCTTTATTATTGAAAATAATCTGAATATCTATAAGCATAAAATTTCTCCGAATCAGACAGCAACCTAATACAAACCACCACTAAACCGCCATATCATCAAAAGATGCAACATTCACACAAGCAATATGCTCATAAAAGACATTGGGCGATAGTTCTTTGGTAAACGGATCCATAATCGTGGAGTTTATCTCAATATGCTCTATAGAAACCTGATCATTATAAATTTGTCCTTAACAACTAGGAACTTAATGTCTATAAACTTTGACATCATTGATCTCCTATTGAGTCATTTTTTGTGCCACATAATTGTTAATTTATCATTTTATGAATGTTTTAAATTATTGTTTTCCTTCTAAATATCATGAGATATAGATTTATTTATTGCATTACTCGAGATACTATATATAGAATGCATATAATTTGAACACTGATTTTTTTCTTTAATTAATTTAATTTAGATTAAATTTTTCTGAATAGAAATCGTAATAATGAAAATGTATATTAATTTGACTAATGTGAATAGTAAAAATTATTTAAATTTTCATTGATCAATCTAATTTAAATTAATTTTTTTGGAAGGAAAATTCATAATAATTATACTATATATTAATTTGATTAATGTGAAGAGTTGGTAATTATTTATTATTAAAACACATCACTTAAAAAATATTGAGTGGGAATGGGTATTTACTTAAATAAAAACTCACGGTCTCATTTGGTTAATCCATAAGCAAAGCAAGACGCTTGTCTCATGCCAATAATACAATGGACTCCCTATATAAAGGCCACATAGTTCAAGTTCCTTGATTGGATTTCTTCACGGTAAGATCCTTTAAATAAGAATATAATTTGTAATTATCCTATAGATAATTAAATTATTTTCATGTATTTAGAGGTCTAGACAAAGTTTATACACTCAAATCGAGATCATTTATGAACCTCCTATAGAGACTTTCGTTTATAATCTTGGTGACCAAATAAAACGATATTAGGCTTATATAGACATTTGTTGATAGATATGGTTTGTCTTGTGGGAGGGTCCCAATTTCATTAGTGCCTTTTGGATCATAAGGATTAAGTTAATTGTTGCATTATTGTAATTAGATGAATCTATATGTGCATTCATACATCTTATGCTAAATTGTTATTTGTTGCTTAATTTTAATATGTAATGTATGATTATTTTTATGTGACTTATCACTTGACCAAGTTTTCTGTTATTCTAAAACAAAAGCAACAAATTGGAAAAAATTATGTGGATTGGAAATATAATCGACGTTTATGCTTAATGTGGGAAGACTTAAATTTGTGCTCAAGAAATGTCTTGATGGACTTACTAAGACCATGGCTGGATATATGTTGAGCAGGAGACTGCAGATACGATGTCTAGCTGTTTCATTTTGACTTCAATATCAAACGTGTTACAACAAAGTT